CACCCTGCAGCTAGTCTTCTGCTTCTATGTCCTTAGCCAGCCTAGTGCTCAAGCAGTAGGGACATGGTCCTACATTTGGCCTGTTGTCAAACTTTTCTAGGGAGAAAACAGAAGTCATACCCTTCAACTCTGGGCATCCAGGTCACCTCCAAGTCATGATGAGGCCTTCAACATGTAGTAGAAAAGGCTTAATAAGTGCCTAGTTGAGGATTGTATCCTGTAGAAATGAGAGCTACTCAAAATTCCAGTTGGTCATAATGGCCCAAAGCTAATGACTGCAATGATAAGGGCCCTTTGCCCAAATTTTGGTGGAGAAGGGTCACTAAATGTGGCTACTATAAAAGTCGCTGCTCACTTTGACTGTCTGTACACTTTCTGAGGTGTTTAAAGTATCTTTGCCTACTTACATGTTTGGGCAGAGAAGTCAAAACAGACTCAGAAATCTGCCTTTTCAGGAAAAGAGAATTTCATTGTTAAGAGGAAGCTCAGTGGCAACTGGGCCTAATCCCTAATTTGCAAGAAGCACCCCCCCAACAGATTCAGCAAGTGGTCATCCAATTATTTCTTGAAGGCCTCCAGGGGTTACTAAGTAGCATATTGGGCAGACTATTTGATCTGGAGTTCAAATTCAGCTTCAAACACTTAGTAGCTATGTGACCCTGGACAAGGCATTTAGCCACTCTTGGCCTCAGTTTCCTCAATTATAAAATCAAAGGGTTGGACTAAATGACCTCTAAGTTTCTTTCTATCTCTAAATGTATAATCTTGTGTTATTAAGTGGAATCTACTCATGCCCAAGGCAGTCTGAACTACTTGGACACTTCTCTGATTGTCAGGAAGAGTTTTCCTGACATCAAGCCTAATATGCCTCATGGTAACTCCCTATTATTCCTAGCTCTGCCCTCTGGGGACAAAGAAAGCCAAACCAATCTGTCCTGCACATGTGTGCCATGAGATGGCTTTAACTGCTTGAAAATGTCTAGCGTGATCTCTCCCCCAAGTCTTCTCCAGAACAAACATGCTCATTTTATTCAACCTATGACCTCATATGCCATGACCTAGAGGTGCCTCCTAATTCTGATGATTACTCTCCTGCGGAGGCTTTCCAGGTCATCCAGGTCATCCCTACAATGGGGTGACTGTACGTGAGCACAATATTCTCTATCTGATCTGACCTGAATGAGTACCCTGGGACTATTACTGCCAGTATCCTGGACGCTCCACCTTTCAATGCAGTTTAGAATTGCATCCATATTCTCAGCCGCAGTATTAAACTGTTGACCAAAAGTGACTGTATTCCATTACCCCCACCCCCAGCTAGGTAGGAGATGGACAATTGTCTAGCTATGATTCAACCTCCATATTGTATTTGAGAAGTTGGTTTATTTTAAACCATATGAAAGACTTCATTGTACTCTATGGAGCCCATTTCTCTAACCTGTCAAGACTGTTTTGGAATTCTTCCTCAGGGTTGCATAATCTATAGGTTACACAAGCACGCCCTCTGCATTCTTGCACAAGTCCTTGACACAAAAAAAGTTTGACAATCAAGGGCATGGGCAGATTCTTGAGTCATTCCACTGGGAGCGATTGTCTCTACTGTTGTCATGGGGAGACAAAAGACCTTCATAGAACCCTGCAAGCCTCTTGGCCAATAGCTCCTAATGACTCGAGATACTTACTTCTGGCCATGGAACACTACTGGGCTTGAATTATATTAATAGAACTCACACATGCTATGTGGTAGGTTGTATAGTTGTATAGAGTGGTGGACTTGAAATCAAGGAAACATGAGTTAAGATCTTGTCACAGATACTTATTATTGCTCAATGACCCTGGGTTAAGTTATTTAACTTCTCTCAAACTCAGTTTCCTCATCTGTAGAATGGAGATAAATAGTGCTTATCTCCCATGGTTGTGTGAGTTTCACATGAGAAAAAAAATGTTAAATACTTTGTACACTTTAAAGTATCGTATTAACAACCACAAAAACAACAACAACAGTAATAATAATTATTATATTCTAGGGGATGTAGAAATGTGGAATACCTCTAGGGTAGGTATTCTTAACTCTGTGTGTGTGTGTGTGGTGTGTGTAAAGGACTTTTTTGTTCATATAGTGAAGCCTATGGACCTTTTTTTTCAGAATAATGCAAGCTTTTAAAAAATAATATTTGAAGGAAATGTTCAAGTTCAATTAGAGTTTAGTGGAGAAAAAAGATGTATTTTTTTTCCCATACAAGTTCATGAACCCCCTGAAATCTATCCACAAATTACATAGGGAACCGTGGTCTCTAGGTTGAGAACCCCTACTTTAGGATAAGAAACAGGGATTGAGGAAAGAGGAGAAAAGGAAGAGGAATTTTTGGAGCAAAAGAGAAAAAAATTATGCTGCAAAGAACTGTCAGAAATCAATATTTTGAATTTGAAAGATTTCATACTTAATGTTTGTGGGAAATGCCTTTAGCACTAAAATTAACTAATCCTCTTCTTCACATCATGTGGGACAGTGTGAGAAACACCATGCTCTGGGATCATTCAGACCCATTTGGGATTACCACATGAAAATGAAAGCTTGGGAAAGCAAGAACACATCCCCTGATGACCACTTTTGTGATAGCTGAACTCAAGTAGAATTTAATAACCTTAGGCTCTGATAACCAATAAAACAATATAAATTCAACAGACCAGTGGAATCAATTATCATTTTGTTAGACATTTTCATAGTCAAAGCAAATGACAGAAACAATTATTTGGGCATATGTACTCATCAGTGTGTGTGTGTCTTAAGGAAGGGATTATCAAGTATAGAATCAATTTGGAAGGCATAGCTTACTGAGTTCATTTCAGGAAGTCATTCTTTTGACATGATTTCAAATTGGTTAAGGCTTTTCAACCTGATTAATGATTCCTTCACCATAAAAAGGCCACTGCTTTGCCAAGTGTTCCTAGCTATTAAATCTGCTTCCCTTCCTTCCAGTGGCCCATCAATGTGGTCCAGCATCCTAAAGAAGTTTGGAGTACAGGGCCAGCGTTGGATTGAATATCTTCTCTCTGAGGACCAGCCTGGCTAAGTATGGGGAGGTTCATCACCAGATGGGTTATGAATGATGCATTTCTCAGCCCCAAGAACTGGTGAAGACCTCCTCAGGCACATAGGAGTTAAGATGGTTATTAGTGGAGGGTGTCATGGCACCAATGAGATTCCTGACTGAAACAGATAGCAGGAGATCATTCAGAGGAGGAGGGACAGCATGGCAAAGGGCCCCCAGATTAGGCCATTTGAAGAGACTGAGGACTCTAATCCTAGGGAAACATGAAGCAGTGACCGTTCCATTGCCTTTCTCCCCTCTTCATCCCTACTCTCTGGCTTGTAGTAGACACTTAATAAATGCTTTCGTAGTATCCCTAGAGCATGTTTGGCATATGGTAGGTACTTAATACCCGCTTATTGATTCATTGGCCCATTGAAAACAAATAAATGAACGAATGATGTGTTTCCTCTCACTAGAGGTCTTCAAGCAAAGGCCAGACGGCAGTCTGGTATAATGGAAACAACATGGATTCAGAGTATAACAATCTGGGATCAGTCCTGGCTCTTCCACTTACAACCTCTATGACCTTATGCATTCCACTTACCCTCTCTCAGATTCAATGTCTTCATCTGTAAAATGAAAGGGGAAGATTACACCGTAACCGAAGTTCCTTCTAGCCTGTATGGACCTATGAACTTAAATCATTGGCCTCATATCCTTCTTAGGGTCAAAGAAAGGTGAGGTTTTCCAGAAACAGGAAACCCAGGCTATAACTCCAGGGCCCCAGATCTTTTGATTTCCCAAAATGATTCCTAAGGTACCTTTCTATGTCACCACATGGTGAGGACAAGCAAATGATTCCCTGAAGCAGCAGGGTCACAGAAGAAACAAAGGTCCACTGCAAAACTTCTGTGTCTTAAGATCATAGATTTCAATCTGGAAGGGGCATTAAAGGTCATCTAATCTGATACCCTTGGCTTACAGATGAAGAAACTAAGGCTGAGAGAAATGATGTGTCTTCCATAAAATTACACAGCTAGAAGAGGTTGAGAGCAACAAAGCCTTAATATGGCCATCAGCAATACCTCAAGGTGAATATTTGTTTTCCTTCAGCATCGATGACCACAGATCCAGTCCATAACAAATGGATGAGTATGTGGTATTATGCCCAATTAAAAACCAGAGAATGCTCAGTCTGAATATTCTAGAATCAATAAAATGATGTTTCTCTTGGCTCAGAAACATTATAGGTACAAAACAAAACACACACATATACAAACAACCCCAACATTATACACAATACTTTGACATTATTCTATCATTGGAATAATGACAAAGCCTTTCCTTAAAATCTGATGTGTTCTCTGAACTCTCTATGAAGGATTTGGTTGTAGAATGCTCACCCTGCCAGGCCTCAGCCAATAACACTATCTGTATTCTCTGTCTCTTCAAGGGGTGACCATCTAGGTCAATGCCCTGCTCCCATTCACCCATATAACTAAGGACTGGTAATATTCTAAAGAAATGAATCAAGGCCATAAGAAGCTTTTTACCCAAATCAGGCCTCACTCTGAATGGGAGTAGTTTTTTTTGCATCCCAATAGGTGAAAATTATGATGCTGATAGCATTTATAAACATTGAGGGAAAGGAAATGGGCCCAAGAGAAAGAAGAGAATCCCCTTAATGGTGCTTACCAGACCAATTAAGAAAGACAAACATGCCAGGAATCAGCTTAAATGTCAGTGGGCCTTACTGACAAGTAATTATCAGTCAAATCCATTTAATCACGTGGCTCCAATAATCTGCCTTGTCTCATAAGCCTGGAACATATTTTAGTAAATATGGTAAAGGGATCAGGTGGTCACTCCAAAGGTAGAATGACAGCTCCTTGAGGGCTTATAATTCAGGCCCATATTCAACATCCAGAATGGCATTACATATTACATGTGACCACACACACTTACAGTGCTGTCGATGTATGCTTCTGTCCAGACCACATCATGCTCCTGGTCGATGACCTTAGGACGGCTCAACACATGAAGATACTCCATGACATTCTCCTGGACGTCAGCCAAGGTGGAGATCTGAGTGAAAAAACCTGAGTGAAAGACCAAGGAAACAGACTTTAGAGAGAGGGTACAGCCTGTGAGGGAAGACAATGAACCTACTCAGTCTGTCTGACTCAAACTGAATGCGTTCCATAGGTACGGGGAAAATTGGAAAGAAGAAAAAGAGAATAATTTACTTGTTGAGATTCTACAAGGATGACTGGAAGAACTTCAGTTTGAACCCAGAGAATTCACCATTTCTTACATGTCTATTGGAGAGATGGATAAGGGTTTCTGTGTGATGGAATCCCCAATTTTTCTCTTCTTTCATTCTCTCCTTTTCCCTCCCCCTCCCCTGTTCTTTCTTTACTTTACTTTCTCTCCTCTCCCCTTTTCCTTCTCCCCACCATTTGTCTCTCTCTCTTTCTCCCTCCATCAGCCTTCCTTTCCTTCTCTGATAAAAAAACAGAATTCCTGCTTTGCTTCCTTTGAGTATAGGATTTGACTCTCCAGACCCAAATCCCCTTGCCTGACCTACATGACATCTCTCAAAGACTTCAAAAAAGACTCAGAGCATCCCAAACTCCTACCTTGCCATAGCTCAAAGGGGAAGCAAGGAGGAGAAGAGGGAATGGAAGAAGTGTTTTCATTACTAGTGTCAACCAAAGGGTCATAGACCTATGGCATTTTTAAACAAAGTTCAGCTGGTTTGAATTTGGTGCGCCAATCCCACACCAGATATGGGTTGTGTGGTTTCTGGTTTTGTAGCGATAGCTCTGTAGAGTAATAATTAAAATGCATTATCACTTGCTCAAGGCCTCTCCTACCCTGGATGCCCTGAAAAGATTGGACTTTCCCATCCTAGTGGCTTTGCACAACCGAAAAAGGAGCTAGGAATGAGCATCTGGCATTGCCTTGACATCACAGTGAATAGAGACTCCTTTGGCCACCACATTTCCTCAATGGATCACTGGAAGTCAGTTTCCAGGAAAATATGTACAATTGGGAAAACAAAACAGAACAAAACACCTCCCATTAAAGGGCACTGCTCATATGATGGTTACTCTTAAATAAATTATTGACTTCACTACTTCTAAAAGCAAGAGGAGATTGGAAGCTAAGGCAGGGATCTTACTTTATTGACCTTTGAGATCTTTACATTTGGAGCACAGTCTCAAAAACTCAGCAAATAATCATTGTGTGAGTGGATGGATAGATGTATGGATGGATGTATGGGTGGATGCATAGATGAAGGAAAAGTGGAGACTGGAAGTTTAGCTGGCTTGCCTGGGGCCACACAGCCAGAATATGTCAGAAGTGGATCATTAACCCAGGCCTTTTGACTCCAAGGTTGGGTCTTTATCCATTTTACCCCTCTATCTGTCATATTTTTGCTTTGTTCATTATGGTATCTATCATATCTTACCACATTATAAGTGGCAGTAGGACATAGAAGTTAGGGAGTTGACCTCATAGGGAGGAGGAACCGGATTCAAGTCTAGCCTTTGACACATACTGTCTGTGTGACCTTGGGCAACTCATTTAACATCTCTACTCCCCTGGTAACTCTCCAAGACTATAAGGTGCAGAGCAGAGGCAGATCTGCATGGCAAGATGCTTTCCAGATCAAGTTTTCCCTATGGCAATGAAATCACAAATCTGGACTCTGTCTCTCTCTCTCTCTCTCTCTCTCTCTCTCTCTCTCTCTCTCTCTCTTCTGTCTCTTTCTCTATCCATGATTGGATCCCTTCTCTCCAAGTGCAGGGCTCTTCCTCTACACCACACTTTCTTGCTGGTGTAGGCAGTAGTCCACCTTCACCACTGGGTCTTCTGTGCCTACCACCCCTGAGATATTGAATAAATATATTTGGCCGCACTGGGAGAAGGCTGAGATAACAAGGTGCATATAACTCCTCTCCATCTTCTACATTCAGTTAGTTAAGAGTTCATTAGAGTTAATCAGCTAGTATTGCTTAAGAAGGTGCTAGGGATGCAAAGAAAGGCAAAATCAGTTCCTGCTCTCATGGGGTTCAAAATTAAGTGGGGGAGACAACCTGCAAACAACTACATGCAAACAAGAGGTGGACAGCATACCGTCAGGGTAGTATCAGAGGAAAGACTTTTCTGGGAAAGGCTTCACGCAGAAGGTGACCCAAGCCATTGCTGCCCTGCCAGCTAGGTGGTGCTGCAGTACATAGGCAGCAGGAGTTCAAATCTGGCCTCAAACCTTTACTAGCTGTGTGATCTTGGACAAGTCACTTAACCCTGTTTGCCTTTGTTTCCTCTTTGTAAAAGGAGTGGAGAAGAAAATGGCAAACCACTACCAAGAAAAGCCCAAATGATGTTGTGAAGAGTTAGATGCGACTGAAAATGACACCACAACAACACAGCAACAAATTAGTGTCCTGGGCAGCCCCTGACCTCCTTGTCCCTCCAGGAGCCCAGGAGTTCCGAGGCAGCCAGGCTTGCAGGATTTCCTCGCTTTCTTGACAAGTGTCCAAATCTCCTTCCCCACTGGAGCCCCAGGCCAGAGGCACATGTAATTTCATTTATTTTAGCCAAGATCTGACTCCAAAGCAGCACACAACAGCAGACCTTCACCAAACAAACACATTGGATCAGCTAACCCCAGCCCATTAAAATCCTTGACCTTCCTGAGAATGCTTCGTTGTAAGGTCGTCGTGGGAGTTTGAACAAACATATGTGGTGTTTGATTGATAATAGGAAGTCACCAAGGGTCGGAGTCAAGGATTGTAACCAATTATACCCTCCCCTTGCTTTCCCTTTTTTATTCTCAGAGCTGAAATAATATTTAAATACTGTTTTTCAATTGTGACTCTTGAATGTTTAGCCTCCTCTTAAAAGTGCTTTTACACTCATGCCTCCTGTTTGAATAAAGCCTACAATCACTTGGTAATTACGAAGGGGTAATTAATACTGAAATTAGCCACCTATTATGACAGGCCTGCTCACTTTTCTCTATCACATCAATTTATTTACCTTCGTCCTTAGCAATGTTCCCTGTTTGAACTTCAGGCCACAGCTAGTGAATAGAAGAAAGCAGATGGAGAAGGGCTCATTGGGTTCCTTTTCAAGTTTCTGATACTTCATCCTCCCAGGCTTAATATTCATACCAAGGTATTTCTCAAAGAGATGCTTGCACTGGCATCCCGTGCAGTGACTCTGAAAAGCAGGCTTTGAAGAAGCAGACACTGCTATGTTCTGTCACAGTGATCGTGGGATTTTAATGATTGTCTGATCCAGTTCCCATGTAGGATCACAGGAACAGAGATTTGGGCCTGGAAATAATGTTAGAAATCATCAGGTACAATGCTCTCATTTTATAGATGAGGGGAGTGAGGCTTAGAGAGGTTAGTTAGGTGACTTATCCAGGGTCACATAGCTAGGAAACCATCAAAGGCAGGATTCAAGCTCAGGTCTTCCTATTCCAAGTTCCATACACTATTGCTTCCCCATGCCTATGCCACCCCCAAATCTGGAATGGATCTCTCCTTGGAAGTAGCCATGCCTTTGCTGTAGAATGCTTCTGTAGTTCAATTACAAGCTGTAGAAATGGAAAATGGACAAAGAGACATCACTGTGGAATATTCAAGAGAGCAGTGGGGGAGGGGAAAGGGGTGGAGGAATGACGCATTTCATTAGACTCCAAGACTTGGGAAGTTAGCCCCCCAAAAGGATTTAGACAACATCTAGTGGAACTCTTTGATTTCACAAACTATAGAAACTGAGGCCCAGTGAGAAGAAATGACTTGACCTTGGCCTAGGTTCCCTGCCTCCTGATTCTCAGTGTCAGATTGCCTTCTATCTACTCTGTCTTGGCTGTACAATGTTCTTTGCACACTATCTCTTCCAGTAGAACATGAGATCCACTTAACTGAGCACGACCAAGCCAGGCCCAATGGCCCCACCAATGTTACTGAGATTTCTGCTCAGGTTCTTTTTTCCAAAGTTGTGTATTGGTTGCCAAGGAGATCTTTCAATCAACTTCATTCTGTATGGGGGCAGGGAGAAACAACACAGGCTCCTTGAGATCAGGGACCATGTTTGCCTCTTATTTTTTTATCCCCTACTGCTTAGCACAGTGCCTGGCACATAGTAGGCACCTAACAAATGTTTATTGGTTGCTCATTTGATTAATGTATATTTCTTCTATTAGAGCAATCTCCATTCCATTTGATGCTGGGACTGAATTTTAACTCTGATGGGACACCAGTATATGAGTCCTTTTCTTATGGGACTCTTTCTTTAGGAAAGAGGGGCAGCTAGGTAAAGCCACAGTGCACAGAGAGCTGGGCCTGGAGTCAGGAAGATTCATCTTCCTGAGTTCAAGTTTGGTCTCAGACACTAGCTGTGTGACCCTGGGCAAGTCACTTAACTTTGCCTCAATTTCCTCATCTGTCAAATGAGCTGGAGAAGTAAATGGCAAACCACTCCCATATCTTTGCCAAGAAAACACCAGATGGGGTCATGAACAGTAGGACAATTGAACAACAATTTAGGGAAGAAATCTTATTAACTTTGGCATGGTGTTGAACCAGGTGGACTGAAGATACCCAGAATGGAGCCTTATGAGGAGGGAGTTACTGGGAAGGAAGGTTGTCTTATGCAGTCATTTCATCACAGTACAAGGCCTTTGACACATTCAGTTTTTATCATATTCTGCTTCTATGGGCGGAGTTCCCAACAGATCTAACTCTCCAGATGCTATGTTTCTCTTCAGAGCAGCATAGAAATTAAGCTTGATAAATGTAGATCTTCTAAGTATGTTTATTTGGGAAATAAAGTGATGACTGACAAGGTAGTGCAATATATCACTGAATTTCCTCCTGCTCTAAAATGAAAAAAAATATCTTTGAAGAATACCCAAACCTTACTAGATTCACCTTCATCTGAATAATGCCAGCTACCCTGGAAGCCAATATAGCACAGCACTGATCTTGGAGTCAGGAAGACCTGCCTCAAACACTTACTAGCTATGTGACCTCTGGACAGGTCTCTTATGTCTCTGTGACTCAGTTTTCCCTGCTGT